AAAAAGTTATGAAACTTTGTTGTTTACAACTTTTTCGTTTGAAATCATTTAGTGCTTCAAAATTTAAACCGTCCAAACTTTCTCAAATGGAAAACTAGTTTATAAGCGTCAAAATTTAAAAATCACAAATTTGAACCATCCAAACTATCTCAAATGGAAAGTTGACCAAAACAACAATTGTAGATCTTGATGAGTTGAACAAATTTGGTATTCAAAACTTTTCAATTTGAAGTCATTTAGAGTTCATAATACTAGAGTCAAAGTGTTGTTTTTTCATTTGACCAAATTTGACTTGGTCAAACTTGCTCAAATGAGACACTAAATGACCTCAGATGAAAAAACTCTGAATACCAAGTTTGATCATCTCAGTAAGATCTACAATTGTTATATAGCTCATTTTCCCATTTGAGAAAGTTTTATCAAACACTAGTCATAAATTCTTGAATCTCATATAGACTTTCTGAAACTATGTCACACACTTGTGAAATTTGAACTATATTTTGTTCAAACTTTCTCAAATGAAAAAATGGCCTATATAAGGATTGTATATCTTGATTAGATGAACAAATTTGGTATTCAAAACTTTTCAATTTGAGACAATCTAGGGTTCCGAAAACTAGTTTGTAAACGTTGAAATTTAAAAATCACAAATTTGAACCGTCCAAACTATCTCAAATGGAAAGTTGACCAAAACAACAATTGTAGATCTTGATGAGTTGAACAAAATTGGTATTCAAAACTTTTCAATTTGAAGTCATTTAGAGTTCATAATACTAGAGTCAAAGTGTTGTTTTTTCATTTGACCAAATTTGACTTGGTCAAACTTGCTCAAATGAGACACTAAATTACCTCAGATGAAAAAACTCTGAATACCAAGTTTGATCATCTCAGCAAGATATACAATTGTTACATAGCTTATTTTCCCATTTGAGAAAGTTTTATCAAACACTAGTCACAAATTCTTGAATCTCATATAGACTTTCTAAAACTATGTCACACACTTGTGAAATTTGAACTACATTTTGTTCAAACTTTCTCAAATGAAAAAATAGCCTATATAAGGATTGTAGATCTTGATGAGCTGAACAAACTTGGTATTCAAAACTTTTCAATTTGAGATAATCTAGGGTTCCGAAAACTAGTTTGTAAGCATCGAAATTTAAAAATCATAAATTTGAACCGTCCAAACTATCTCAAATGGAATGTTGACCAAAACAACAATTGTAGAGCTTGATGAGTTGAACAAACTTGGTATTCAAAACTTTTCAATTTGAAGTCATTTAGAGTTCATAATACTAGAGTCAAAGTGTTGTTTTTTCATTTGACCAAATTTGACTTGGTCAAACTTGCTCAAATGAGACACTAAATGACCTCAGATGAAAAAACTTTGAATACTAAGTTTGATCATCTCAGCAAGATATACAATTGTTACATAGCTCATTTTCCCATTTGAGAAAGTTTTATCAAACACTAGTCACAAATTCTTAAATCTCATACAGACTTTCTAAAACTATGTCACACACTTGTGAAATTTGAACTACATTTTGTTCAAACTTTCTCAAAATGAAAAAATGGCCTATATAAGGATTGTAGATCTTGAATCCATGACCATGACTCCATGAGACCCATGAAGCAATGTGCTTGGCTATTTCTACTCATGCCGCGAAGATTGGTGCTTGTATGATGTTTGATGTATGATGTATCTGTATCTTTATCTTATTTGTTGCTTTACTCTTTAGTCTTTCGGCTTAATCTAGATGGATTATGGACTCATAGAGTGGTGTAATGGTTTATGCATCGTATGATATATATATATATATATATGCTTGCTTTTACTCAATATCCGAATAGATATTTGTATCCGACCTTCTCCGAATCCGATTCATACCGTATTCGATACTCATTATTCGTGATCCGTAATCGAAGTCAATCCGTATTCGTATATGTATCCGAACGCTATCCGTGTCCGAATCCGAATCCGAACAGAAATATGAAAACAAATATAATATGAGTGATATCCGTTCGTATCCGATCCGTTTTCATCCCTAGAGACAGTCGATTTATCCTGGTTCGAGCCCTCGACCGTGGTCGAGTAATAGGCCTACGTCGAGTCGGCGTTAGCCTTTGCGTTGAATTGTTTGTTAGCTATTGTAAAATTATGTCCCATTTCTAGAAACTCCGCCCTCCTTTATATAGTCAGGAGGCCAGAGTCCTAGTCGGTTTATAATGAGAATTCCTAGTAAGATTACAGAATAATACTACTACTAAGATTACATGAAAGAAAATCTAGTTAGACTAGATCTTCTCTCTTTCTTACGGGGTATCCCGTGGGTCCCGCATCGACACTGCACTGAAGCTAGGCGGATCTCCAGCTCCATCGAGCGGACCCTTTCGGCTTGCTCGTGTGCCCTCGGCACGAGACGAAATTTTATGCCGACAGTCAAGTTATCGGTTCTACCTAAGGGTGGCGTCCTTCTGGTAGATTCACTAGGTTACGGATCTTAGGTTACCGATCTTGCTGATGTTTTTCTTGTTATTAGTTTGCAGCAACATTAATTTGTCCGATCAAGATCGATTTAGATCGGCCTTATATCCTTTTAGTCTGTCGTTCGCTTTGTCACAACACGATGCTTCTTACTTTGAGCGACGGGTTATGTTTCATCAGCTGTTTTTACTTCGATCTTGATCGTGCATAGTACGCGGTTAAGGCATGTATAATCTTAAAGATGTTTATTGGTTAGTTAAATCTAGTTTATAGTTCGTTATTATGGTTGTAACGATCCGGTCGATCTCCACTGATGGCACTGTAGATTAGAGGTTGCTACTTAGTAGATTTGTTCTCGATTAGGCGTGACCTTAACTGTTTGCTATGCCTGCATCGGCTAAATAGCCGATCGCATAAGCTTTAACGCCTACAGTGTGTGTCCATGATTCTGTTAAGCGTGAATAGATCCGTATACTTTAAGGGTTTGATTTGTTGTCTTTATCACGGCCGCATCGATCCGGTCGAACCCTACTATTAGAGATAGTAGGTTAAGTCTGATAAGTCTATAGGTTTGTCCATGTGAAATAGTCGATTGTTCACACGCTGTAGTCCCTTTTCATCTGAATCGGCTATTTTAGCCGATTTGCCCGAACCTTTACGTATAGCATGTTTTTTGAAAAGCCTGTCGAAGTATAGATGGTTTTACGGATTTTAAGGTTTTAGTTTGTTATTATTATCATAGCTGCCATCGATCCGGTCGAACCTCACTGTTGATAGTAACATATTAGATTCAGAGCGTTTGTATATCCATTTGTATTTATTTATATGCTATATCCTTTCTCGATTATATTCATCGGCTCAATGATTCACACTGGTAATATCTAGCTAGCTGATGATTTCACTTATATCTGCGGGCATTGTATTTATCAACATAAAATCAATCGTGATCTATAAGCTTTACTGTCCATAACAGCAGATTTCTGTACGTATTGGCTATTTAGTCGATTTTCTCGTCTAGCTGCTCTCAAAGTGGTACACTTGGAACTTGTACTCGCGTGGTTATTCTCGTCTACGAATAGTCAATTTACATCAATTAAACGTAGAACTTATACTGAAACAGAAATAGTAAAAAATGCTCGTAATCTACGTCTACTAAGGCCATGTTTAGTTCCCCAGATTTCCTGAATTTGGCACTATGCAAAAAGAAGATTCTCCGTCACATTAAACTTGCGGTACATGCATGAAGTATTAAATGTTAACGAAATTAAAAACTAATTGTATAGTTTGGTTGTACTTTGCGAGATGAACATTTTGAACCTAATTAGTCAACGATTGGATAATTATTACTAAATAAAAACAAAATACTACAGTGCTGCCGAATCCGGCGGCGCCGAATCCGGCCTCCAACTAAACACGGCCTAAAAGAATAAATTAGCATGCATACATGGGTATAGGGGCTAGCTGATGTGACGGGGGTGCATGCACCTGCACCTGCCGCCTACAGGCTGCACCTGGACCGGGTCAGATGCACATGCAGTCGCACACAGCGGCACAGGCCACGCCTGACCACGACCCCTAGGAACCCGCGATCGCTTGCTCCGCCGTTCACAGGGCAGATCCGATGGATGACAAATCGAGTGTGCGGAGCCCAAAAAATACTCGAGCGACGTATAACTTTCCCGAATTAAAAATAGATACGGTACATGGTTTGAAAGTTATAACAATTTAAAATAAATATTTTCTTTTTTCTTTAAAGATGATGAGAAAGGAAACAGAGAAGGTGGGCGGCTGGTACGCATGCGGAATCGCTCACCAACGTCCTGATGAATGACCGCTAAAAATAATATGTGCAACCAAACACCTTCCGAATTCCAAACTTCCCGTCCCCGTCCCCGTCGCTCCTAAGGGCAACGGATCGAGTTTGGGGCGGATATTTACGGGTTTTGGGTTCTGCGGGTTTATATTTGGGAATGATTTTTCACCCATGGTTTTCGGGTTCGGGGCCCCGAAACCAATCGGGTTCGATTTCGAGTTTGGTTTTCCACCCGTGAATATCCAATGGATATCCGAAATAAATCATTTGGAATTAAAACTCATATTTTATAATATACTAATAATAATTTGTTTACTTAGATTATTAAATTTATTTAAAGTTGACCCATAAAAATATTTATTATTTGTTGCCTCTTGTTTATACATGTGAATATGTGTATATATATACGCGGGTTTCGGGTATCTATTCGGGTTTCGGGTATCTATTCGGGTTTCGGGTATCCACGGGTTTGGTTTTGGTGATGGATTTCCACCCGAATCGGTTTTCGGGGTGGATTCGGGTTTCGATTTTGTGTTTCGGTTTTGGGTGCACGGAGACTCCACCCGATTCGAACCCGACCCGTTGCCATCCTTAGTCGCTCCCCACCCACACCCACACAAAAACCACTCCTCCCTCCACCCGAGCGCGTGCCGCCGCTTCGCAACAAGACACGATGCGGCGGACCCTCCTCCTGGCAATGGCATGGCAGGTGGCGCGCCGGCGGCTGCTGAGCAACATGCCGGAGTCCACCGTCCAGGGGGCCCACGCCCGCAGGAGTCGGCGGCGGCGCGGCGCATGACGGTGACCACCCTCCGCGGGAAGCACCACCGCGGGGAGCCCATCAGCATGGTGACCGCGTACGACTACTCGTCGGCGGTCCACGTGGACTCCGCAGGGGTGGACGTCGTCCTCGTGGGCGACTCCGCCGCGATGGTCGCACACGGCCACGACAACACCCTCCCCGTCTCCCTCGACATCATGCTCCAGCACTGCCGCGCCGTCGTGCGCGGCGCGCCCAGGCCGCTCGTCGTCGGCGACCTGCCCTTCGGCTCCTACGAGTCCTCGCCCGCACAAGTACGTACCTGATCGATCGATGACCCGACCATGCACACTCTCCCAATGCAAGACGTACGCCTTCTGAAACCGTATCCGTCATTTTTCATATACGTATACGTACATATAGGCTGTGGAGTCGGCGGTGAGGCTGATGAAAGAAGGCGGAGTGGACGCGGTGAAGATGGAAGGAGGCGCGGCGTCGAGGGTGGGCGCGGCGAGGGCGATCGTGGACGCCGGGATAGCCGTGATGGGGCACGTCGGCCTCACTCCGCAGGCCATCAGCGTGCTCGGCGGCTTCCGGGCGCAGGGGAAGACGGTCAACAGCGCTCTCAAGGTCGTCGAGGCGGCGCTCGCGCTGCAGGACGCCGGGTGCTTCGCGGTCGTCCTCGAGTGCGTGCCCGCTCCGGTGGCAGCCGCCGCCACGGCAGCCCTGCAGATCCCAACCATCGGCATCGGGGCTGGACCCTTGTGCAGTGGCCAGGTGAGGTCAACCTAGCTACAATCAGTGTATCACACATGCACGACTGTTCTCTCTGTTCACCACTCTCATGTCAACTGCCCTATCAACTGTTCATTGCATGCAGGTTCTAGTGTACCATGACTTGCTAGGGATGTTCCAGAGCCCAGACCACTCCAAGGTCACGCCCAAGTTCTGCAAGCAGTTTGGCGACGTCGGCGCCGTCATCGGCAAGGCGCTCGCCGAGTACAGGCAGCAGGTGGAGGCTGGGTCTTTCCCGGGCCCTGACCACACGCCCTACAAGATGTCTCCCGTGGGCGTCGCTGTCTTCGCGGACGCGCTGCGAAACATCGGCTTGGATGGAGCTGCTGCAGCAGCCGCCGCCGCCGCCGATGCTGGAAAAACAGAGAAAATAGTAGGCGATGGAAAGCCACACGAGGGGGATAACATCAATAATGGCATCTTGAGCAGTGCGGGTGCTGCAGTTTAATGGCGAGCTTATAACAAGTACTCCCGTGGTTATTGAATAATCAATTCTTAAAGTTATTGAAGTTAAAAAAACTTAAGTTTGATTGCATTTTATAGAAAAAAATGGGGCCGAATTATAGCATTAAAATAGTGTCATTATGCATCATAAAACATATTTTATGATAATAGTTGTTGGAGAAAATCTAGGCCACACACCAAAGAAGAAGGAATTCTGGTGGAGATAATTCTGTCATTATCGATAAACCTTACACACCAATAAATCTATATATCTTATTTCCAGTCCAAACCTACTGCCTTGTAAGAGCATATCCAAGAGACATTCTAAATTCCACAATCCATATCTTCGTTTGGCTAGCCACTCCATTCAAATTGTCTCTATATAATTCAACATACTCCAATAGACTAGCCATATCTCCCACTCTATATTCTATGAAAAGGGGAGAAAAGAATAGAATTTTGGAGCAACACAAACATAGTACTAGCTGTCACTGTCACATAAGCTAATATAGCAAAGCACATCGGCCAGCCAAATTTGGCTTCCGACTCTCGGGGAATAGCTCGTCAAATGGAATAGCAATGACATTAGCTAGTCTGTTGGAGACCAGATTTCTTGCATGTTAGCTAAAAATAGAAATAGCAAGTTGGATTCCAACACTCTTGGAGATGCTCTAAAGTTGTAAACAACCAACTCAATATTTGATTACTCCCTAGCATTTTGTTCTAAAATGTAAGGTGTGTAAGCAATTTTAGGATCAAATAAGGTCTCTGTCAAAATGTTTAATTTGCCTCCTCACTCATTGGTTAGTTTGGTTGTCAATTTTTAGTGACACGTAGTCTGAAAAAAAACATGCATGCAAGTTATTGATTTTGGATACCAATCATCATCATTTTGGGCAAGGTGGTACTTAAAAGGCAAGCATAGATGTGGTTTAAAAGGTATGCATGCATGGATGGGGTTCAGCAATCCAAGGTACCATATAATTTGGGATGAATTTTGAATCTTTGATACCTTGTATTTTAGGATGTAGGGAATATTTATCTGTATTATTATCCTCTTAACGACCCGACATCAATCACAGTTTGCACCTACCAAATTAGTCAACAAAGGGACTCAATGAAAAGGAAACACAACCTCCACGTTTGTCCAATAATACAATCGTACTTGATAATTTATCCATCTACAACCATACAAAATAACATAGGCAACACATTGTCTATATTTTATTAAAGAATTAATAAACATATTCAAATCACAATCTTCTCCTTGGATTGTTTATATACAAAAAAAAATCCATAAACACCATTCTAACACAATTTTCATATGCACAACAAATTACCCTAACTTCCATATATTATTCCTTTTGTTTACCATATAACATGTAATTACCTATAACAAAGATGGGCAATAGAAAACAAATGCGTGAAGAATAAAAATTGTTTAACATTGTACAATCCTAACCCTAATCTACGTGTTACACATGAGAGGGGGAAAATTCAATACGCCTATTATACAATGCAAAATCTACCCAACACCTCGAGCCTAAGGTTCCAACTATGTACAACCAATCCATACAAAACTAAATGGATGGCATGGAAGAGGAGAAGGCCTCAGGGAAGCGATCCGAGGCAAAACTTAGGCTCATATGGGCTGGATTTGGGACCTTGGGCTGATGGCGGAGTGAGGGGAGAGAGAAGGTGAGTGGTGCCAAGAGAATGAAATCGTGAGGTGAGGAAGGAGCCAGCATTGAGCTAAAGTCCATAGACCTCACCATTGAGTTGTGCAACACCGATGTCTGCGGCTTGGTGTTAATGTGTACAACATGAGGTCTTGAAGCCATATCCAGGTTAATGTTGACGTGGCAGGGCTTGACGTAGTCCACCACTAAATTGAGCCACATAGCATAGTATTGCATCCTAACACACAAAGGTTTAGGATCATTTTTTAAAAGATTTTATGGTCTCTTTGCAGAATAAGGTTTTCAAAAATGGCTAAATGTATAAAAAAGAACTCCACATGAGGGGGAAGATTTTCGGCCCAAGCTTGAGGAGGCAATTTTAGCCTAAAATAAAACTCAAATACTCAGACCTATTTTCTTGGATTTAAACGTTGCCTATAATAATTAATAAATTTCCTACCTTCCTCTAAAAAAGTCTAGTCCCCAGGTCGAGACAAGACAAAAATTTCAACACCAGGCCCTGGATTTTCATAGATTGGTCAGCATAGGCCAAACCAATTTTGATCGTCCCCGCTAAGTTGCTGGCGTTTCTTGGGTGAGGAAAATTGTGCCATGAATTTGGCTGGGCCACTTGCACAATTTTGTGATTATGAACATTTGTATGGCAATAGCTCCGAAACTTTGCATAACTTTTGTGATATCTTTGCACTATAGTATTCCTTGCTAATAAATCTATTAAACAAGATCCCATTGGCATATGTTTTGATAAAAAAATTCTTTATGACATATACACCCCCACATGCCTACTATCACTACTAGAGAACAGACTTTAGAACGATGTCCCAATTTGGCATTAGCCTCGGCATTTTTTGCCGCCGAGACTAAAGGACCCTTTAGTCCCGGTTAAGTAATACCAACCGGACTAAAGGTCCCCGCCCAACGATCGTCCGAGTGGCGAGGATCTTTAGTCCCGTTGGTATTACCAACCGGGACTAAAGGTAAACCTTTAGTCCCGGTTGGTAATACCAAATGACTAAAGGTTTTAGCCCCGTTTTGGGTGATATACCGAATAAATATTAATCTTTAGTCCGGGTTTGGCCACCTAACCGGACTAATTATGCGAGCCTATACAACGGCTCATTTCTTCCTCCCCGAGCCCAAGCCATTCCATTCAAACTCACTTTGCCTCTGTTTCTTCACTTTGTTGTTGTTCTTGCTCTCTCCCCTCCATTGGTGTTGCTCTTTCGATTTTGGAGGTAACAAACTTAATCCTCTTATGTTTTATCGGTAGCTTATCTCATTTTACATGTAGATGCATGTGTAACTTTATATGTTGGACTTTATTATGATTTTATATGTCATTTTTAGCTCAAAATCACATGATGATTTGCATATATGTTTGGATAAACAAAAGTTAAATTAGTTCATCAAAATCACGCCTCGCTCGTCCTCATTTGGAGCACGCGCCATCCTCGTCCCCCATGCTTACGTGATCTTAGAATTATTTTTCCATGAAATGAAAAACTTAGAAAATAGTTAGAAAATTATAGAAAATCCGTACTAGTTGAACTTGCGGACCATGATCATCTCGGCGAGCATTTTCTCTGCCAAGCGATAACGGAGGCGTCAAGGAGGAGCTTTGATTCTCGAGGGAGGCGGCAGCGGTCGTGGAAGACCGTGTTCCTTCCTCGTAGAATCGAGAGCTCTTCCTTGACCAAGTCTGATGCCGTCCGGTGGAAAATGCTCACGAGATGATCACGTAAGCAAGGTCAACTAGTACGGATGGTTATTTATTGAAACATGTTTTGAGCTATGTGATTTCTATGTCATTTTTAGCTCAAAATCACATGATGATTTACAATAGTAAAATCACTTGATAGTTTGGTATTTTACTATTATACATAGTACATATTTCTTGGTTTAGTTAGATAAATAAATAATTTTAGTTTTGTTTAAATATATTATTTTAGAAAATGTGAAATTTACAGATGGTTTACAAAAATAAGTATAGAAAGTAGATGACAACTGGTACGGATCCTCGGCCTCTCGTTCGGTTCTTGGCGATCGAGGCTAGAACTCCCTCTCATTATCTGCGCGCAAGTGTAAGCGTAAGATTGTGATGGAGTACCGAGTCAAGAGACGAGGACCCAACAAGGGTCGTGTTTTCTACAAGTGCCCTGATCGCGATGTGAGTTTCTTACGCATTTGATTATTATGGCTAATTGACACTGCTTTTCTTGAATATTTTTGACTAAATATTTTTTGGCTTTAATTTCAAAGGGAGGGCAATGGATGCGATGGTTGGTACTTGGAAGGAAGATTATGCTACATACGTGCGAGAATTCGGTCATTGGCGATGAGGCGGTGAGCCAAATAGAGAAGCTATTGATATTCAACGTAAGAATGATTTGTCTGTTTTAGTTGCGTTTATCACAAAATAATTATGTTACTAAAGTGCATTGTAGTTTTAGTTTGTTTAGTGATAGTTGGGATTGCTTACGTTGTAGCCAGTGCTTAGTTAATTAATCAACCGTGTAAAAGGTCATCTATGTTGTGTAATAAAATATTTAATTATGTTCAAGGTTTTCATAATTTGTCGTAATACTGATTATGTCACGTCATTGGATGTACAATGCCGATCGTTGCTCCCAAGACATTATTGAGGTCTTGCACTATTTCTTAGGTGTGGCCGAGGCAAATAAGCGGGATGGTTTCATGTCTTTGTCCATGTGCCCTATGTAAGAATTTAAAGGAATATTCAAGCTCAATGAGTCTTCATTCACATTTGCTTAAGTCGGGTTTCATGTCAAACTATATATGTTGGAGTAAGCATGGAGAAAGCGAGGTCATGATGGAAGAAGGTGAAGGAGAAGATTTAGACATGAATGACATTATTGCTCAAGATGGTGCCTTTGATGATACTACAATGGGGGAGATGAAGAAGAGGTAGTGGTAGAAGATGATCTCGGTGATGCTCTTGGCGATGCCATTCGTGATGCACAACAAGAATGCGAAAGTGAAAAAGAAAAGTTAAGTTCGAGCGCATGCTTGAGGATCATAGGAAGTTGCTATACCCGACGGGAGAAGAGGGGCAAAAAAAAAGCGGGTACAACAACTTGGAATTGCTACGAAAGGAAGGCAAAGAATGGTGTATCCGATAAGGCATTTGGGAATTTATTGAACCTCATAAAGAAGATGCTTCCGCCAAATGAATTGCCCACCACTACGTCTGAAGCAAAAAAGGTTATACGCCCTTTGGGATTAAAAATCCAAAAGATACATACATGTCCTAATGACTGCATCCTCTACCATGGCAATGAATACG